AGCAATATTACAATCGATTGGGGCCACTAGAAAATAGTGAGCTTGCTTTCAGTAGCGTGGGCTAGAGATTCAGGAGAGGGCCTGAGATAGAAGATCGTCGTAAGTACCACCACAGCGGCCCAGTGAACCTTTCTAGAGCCTACTACAAGCACTCTGAATTTCCCATTGGGACAATCTAAGTTAGTCACAAACTTGGTAGAGCCTAGAGCGGCATCAGTGTAGAGCAGTCAAAGCTTGCGTAAACGTTAACCTCATGCTGACTTCTACTAGTCGGCCAGCCGCTGGCTCGTGCCCTACTCTACATGAACATGAGACACCTGGACCGCCGCTCCCCATATTCAGGATTCAATTTGCGGGGAGGGATCAGACCTCGGATTTTACATGAGGCATAAGAATGCGGGGGCTGATTCAGTGATAGGGTACCGAAGGCTAGTACTACTAAATCCGTTGTATCCACCCAGTAATGTACTAGCTACGGGTAGATAAGCGCGGGTCTGTAGCAGATTGGCTGGTGAGAGATAATTCCTCTGGGTTAGAACAGTTTAATTTGGATTGGAGAATGGAGAATGGAGAGGTTTCATCCTTCGGGATTTGACACCGGCTGTTCGAGTGATACTTTTGGAAAAGCTGACTTTTGAAGATTGCCGCTACTGATATGATGCATTCAAGCAATGACATGTCTATCGACCACGAGAGTTTGCCACTTTCTTGTGGTCTCTTGAAGCCACTCTTTCCCCAGAACGCTCATGCTCTGGGGTGGCGCCTCTTGTTTGGTTTATAAAACGAGCTCCCTGCAGGTTTCAGCTCCGAGTCCGGCAGGCTTTTTTCTTCAACATCAAGAGTCCGCTTTTTAAACTATCCTCTTGTCATTATTGAATTCCGTTCCCTGTCTTTTGGACTTATCAGAATGACCACGTCCTTCAGCCCATCCGAGACGGGGTCACAGAGCCCAGACATGCTAACAAAGAACTTCTCTCGAATGTGAGTGACCTCATATTTCCCGGAAAGCCTTCACCAGAACACATACTAACACACCCTTCGCTCCGTTAGATCCCTCCTCGGCTTAGCATTCATTACCTTAAACGTAAGCCAGTAGGCCATGGAACAGTTACCTCGAGACGATTATCAGCTGCTGATCAATGCCCATTGCAAATGCCAGTCATGGACCGCTTTTGCTTCGGCTTTGCCTTTGAGCCTCACATCTGGAGGTCCCACAAGCATCATCTGGGGTACGAGGCCTTTTAGCCCTGGTTACAAGGATTTACGGATACTGACGCAATCCCTGAACCAGGTCTCCTGACCTCGGGTTTTTGTACACTTTGTATCGCCGCCTCTCTGGCAGAATTTCTATCCGCATATCCTACGTTCGTCTCTCCGCATCCCATTTCATAATCATCAACAATCCACTCCTTGGTATTGGGGGAGATTCAAAGAAGCTAGCTGGGCGACGCTGATATTCGGACTTGGGCAGTGCCGCGGGACAATATCGTTGGGTAGCTGGTAAGATTTCCTTGCAGGTGATCTACAGTTAAGTCAATTGGAAAGATATTGACAGACTTTACGCGTCACTTTTTACAGCTGGTACGCGACGCTAGTGACTCTGTTCGATGAACGTCTTGCTGACTGAAGCGCCAGTTTCCTGGGATGACTACAGGCGGGTGCTCTCATGGATTACGGCATGGGCGAATGTCACCGCGTGGGTATGTAAGATCCCTGGCATACCACGGGGTTATGGCTGCGCCATCAAGACTTATCAGGAATCTACAGATCTGTCTATGCGCGACGGCGTCACTTTTTGGGAGCCAACTAGTCATTGACATTGTAATCCTAGTTCATCCGGTAATACACCCTCTATCAGTCCCTCTTCTCCTGTCCTCGGAACTTTACAGTATCCCCTTGATTAGGGTGCAGATCTATTCCTGACCTTGCTTTCTAGGAATTTAACTTGCAAAGATGGCATGTGTTTCTCATCTATGTCGGCTTTAACATGATAGCTCTTTTGGTGAACGCCTTCTGGAACAGAATTTTATCCGCGCTGAATAGAGCAGCCTGTAAGGCTTTTCCGTCCAGACGACGGCTGGGTTTATACACGCATGACTAATGCGATAAATATCTAGTGATCTGGTCCCTCTGTGGTTTATCCATCATTTTCGTGACTGTCCTGGCTTGCGCGTCGCCAAATTACAATTCTGCGAGGTACGTTGCAGCTAGCACAAAGCTGTGTCGCTTGGTCCTACTATTTCCACATTGCGAGTCAATCTGACGGCTCCGTCAGATTTGTGTTCACTACTTTCATCAATGAGACTGGATGTAAGTTCTCTTAAGTTCTGTTAGATCGTCTCCGCCCTGGTTTCAGTATAGCTAATTATTGGCAACCAGGGCCCGATGGCTTGGCTTGGCTTTTGGGGGTACGCCCAACACTTTTGCCTTATCTTTGAACTTGAAGACTGATCAACAGTTTTCAGCTGCTCCAAGGTGGACTGTGCCTTGTCGGAGTTGTGCGTATTCGCGCCCACAGACACTTGATATTACTGACTAAATAATTGGGACCAGGACGCAGTTGCGCACATGATCGAGGGTAAGACCCTTCTGTATTCCGTGCTACGGCCTTCCTCACCTAACATTGTTCATTCTTTGACCAGAAATTCCCAAGCCAACCGTAGATGGACCGCTAATTATGGTCGCGTGTGTGGCAATTGGCCTCGCCACCAGCTTGATCTTAATTATCGCTCTTCTCTTCGTGTCTCGTGATATAGACACCATTATCACCTCTGGTGCAGGGCCTCTACTTCAAATCTTTTTTGAAGCAACGAACAGCGAAGTGGGGTCCATTTGCTTGCTTCTGTTTGTCTTCCCCCCCGCGATTTCAGGTCACTATGTCTGACAGCTGATCGTTTCTTTCTGCAATCCTCCAGTTTCCCCATTGGGTGCCTTTTGCTAGGTGTGGTAGCCATAACAACCACGTCTAGTCGGATGATCTATGCTCTTGCTAGGTACGGACAAGTCTCAAACTCAAATTACTGAAAAATGAACTTTCCTTAACTCTTCCAATTTATACTTGTACTAATTGAGCATACAGAGACTCTGGGCTACCATTCTCTTCCATTTGGACTATTTTTAATGCCAGGCTCAAAACGCCTGTGAATGCCCTGGCTCTAAACACTGCAGCAGTAATCTGCTGCGGCTTTATCTTCCTCGGCTCTTCCAGGTATAGTCTGCTGCTGCTGGAGCCATTGTCCAAGGACACCGGATTTTGTCCAACGGCTAACCCATCATATCACTCATCTAGTGCATTCAATGCACTGAGCTCTGCGACCGTCATATGCTTTGACATATCCTATTGCCTCCCCATTTTGATTCATTGTATACGGGGCCGCAAATTGCTCCCTGTGGGCCCATGGAGCCTCTACCCTGTCATTGGATGGATTGTGAATATTGTATATTATATCTTTTCCCTTCATTTCTTCCTCTGGCCCTTTACCCACGACTAATCCTGAAATAGGTGTCAATCGCGTATATTTTATTTACGACTGTGCTCTTCGTATTTCCACCTGCCCGTCCAGTAACGGGTTCGACAATGAGTGAGGATGTCCCTGCTCGAGCGAATTTCAAAAACTTAACTGACGGACGGTTCTGTTGTTTGGTAGACTATGCCATTGCCGCTATCGGCGGAATCGCGTTGCTATCCGCAATCGACTGGTTTGTCAGGGGCCAAAAGCGCTTTATGCAGATCCTGGTGAATGCAGAAATTGAATGCCCTCAAGCCAGGTCATCAATTAGTCCGACCAAGTCGGACGTATGATTCGGGGGTTCGGACTGGGATATTGGAGCAAATGTCTGCTAATTTTGTTGCTTGAGTTCAAATTGGCACTGGTTTTGCTCGAGGAACAATGCCTTCACTCGCCATTTGTGGCCTTGGTGGCTGTATGCGCTGAGCAAATTAACTGGCGGGTGGGAGAGAGTATTGGAAAAGGTTGAATCGAATATTTTGATCTATCTTAACTGAAACGTGGAAAGCACACCAATGCGTAGTTAGTCTCGGCGGTTGGACCAAGTCAATCCCGACCATTCTTCGGCTGCAAACTTTAGTCGTGACGGATGGAAGGTTGGAAAGAGGCGGTTGGCAGCCACCTGCACACAGTCGAATTGTTGGCACTTCTAGTGGAAGATCACCAGATTATTCTCCGCAAATAATCCTGCTACTACAGGAGGGTTGGGAATAAGTATCATCCAAAGGTAAGGGCCTCGATAGTGATACTACAAGCAATTGAGGGCCACTCATCCAATAAAATCACCTATTGATTCTCACAATGTAAGCTTCCACATCAGGTACCATCTAAGATAATGTTTCTTCACAAAAATGTGTATACGTAATCTATTCTTGTGGATGGCGAATTCGAACTGACTAGGTGGGAGGACTTACAAACAGGCGCTCAGTTCGCCGGATCATTACGACTTTTGCATCAGGGAGGAGAGTTCTCCCAAGTCATGGGCCATGGCGTCCGTGGCGCAAGGGCAAGCCCCGTCCACGGTCCAACAAGACTGTTCACTTATGGAACCTCATACTGATTTCTTGCGCTTTTACGCGCGCCTCTCAATCTTTCGCCTCGACCATTAGTCAGTCTATCAAATCACTCCGCACAGTGTTATTGAGCGCTCGTTCGGCGGATCGTATTATCAACCAGAAGGCTCTGGTGGAGTGTGTGGCGGCATATGGATGTTCCACGCGCAGGGACCCCTGCCAAGAACCCGCTTAACTGTCCTTGGTAATTATATCCGCCAAGAAAAGAGGTCGTGGACGATTGACCGTAATGCTTTGTCGTAGTCTAGTCCTCTATAGGGTTATTGCACGTCAAAAACTAATCCTCAAATCCAGGTTGGTACCCTTACAAATATTGAAGCACTGGGCTTTTGTGAAATATTTAACAAGGGATAGGCAAATGTCCTGAAAGACCACCAGGTCAAAATACACATAGTTTGTCCAAGAGCACGTCAAAACCTCAACATGCCAAACCCAGCCTCTGATACATCATGGCTCCAGCAGTGAGCCAAGGTGCAACCCACAAGCAACCAAGTCCAGCGTAAGACCGGACCTTGAAATATCTCCAGCCGGTCAGAGTGCCTGCCAAGACGGTGATCCAGATAATGGCTTTCTCTTCCAAAGTTCGAACTCCGACGCGCGACCATTGAATGTTGAGCAGTGCTGATACAATGTTAGCGGAAATTCATCTTCGTTCAGGGAGCAACATCAAGCTTACCTGAAGCGGCCAGCAGAGCATTCACCATATCCCAGGCGGTTGTTGCTGTCGCTTTTCCGAGGGCATGCTTCTCGTTAGGGGGGATGGAAGCAATAGCAGGGTCGACCTCCCTGATCCCAAAGAGTATATGACCTGGGATCGAGACAGCATTAATAGCTGCTGAGGCATAGTACAGTGTCGTAGGGATGAATGACATGTCGGCAAAGATAGGCAATAAGATCATCAAAACCAATTGGTATCAAGAGTACAAGATGGCCATTACTTGGGGCTCGGCCTCCTCATAAAAGTCTCGAGCGGATCTCTTATGGGTAGTAAAATGCCAGTCGCCTTTTGTCAGCAGTTCTTGCGGAGGGGCAGGTTTCTTGCATATAATGACAAATGACAAACCACGCACTGCGTACTGATGGTAGTCCCACAGAGAATTCCATGCGCCCTTCGGCATTCAAAATTATTACTAATGGACTAGGCGATGTATTCACCTTCCATAGTCTAGCCTGACATATTCAGGTTCCACCGTGGTAAGATGCTTGAGCCCTGCCGGCATTTTTAAACTGATCTTAGGCCAAAGTAGTAGCTTAACCCGCCAAGATATATATGTAAGATGTGGCCGTGTGGGGTCCTCCACTTGTTGCTGTCAGCCCGTCTTGGCCCTTCCAACATGTGCATGCTTTACCACGTACTACAACTATTAACTATAAAACCTAGTGACTGACCATAGAACCCTCCATTGAAGCGCGCGCGAAAAATGCGAACCTTAATGACCTATCAATGTCTCTTTAGCGGTTCACTGAAGTTGAAGTATAATAAGACTAAATGTATTTTCTAGAAAGGAGCCATATCAGACCCTATCACATGGTAGCTGAGGCGCTACGCCTCATGAAAAAAATTCCCTAGCTACCTATTAAGCGCCTTAAATGATTCTACAGTCTTACAGATAGGGTATAAGGAGAAGAACTGGTTAATGCCGGAGCCCAGGATAGTAAACACAATGCCCAGTACCCACATGCGCACAGTATTGACAGGTATGGTGGGTCATCGGTCGCGGGGACGACAGCCCTAACTGTGGACTTGTCAGTTCATTACATACATGCAATGGCTGAATCAAGATCATGGTTATTCTCACTCACCTTCTCGGAATGATGACCGTTCCGATTCATTGCTGTACTCCTCATTCTTACCCTCGGCGACCTTGGCAAACAAAGAACTAGCCATGGAGACACACTCTGGCTCCATGCCACGGTCAGGTTGGCTAACCCGCTCAAGGAGCTCGACAGATTCGCTGGTATCCCATTTATAATTACCTAGTAGTCTCTAACATGTCATGAAATCAAGGGGACCCAAGGAGCCTTCCTCAGTGAGCCTTTCTCTCACGGGCATATTGGATTCCTCAAGATGGGGAGATTAAGAGAGCGCCAAGAGGGCCCTGAGGATCTTGCTTTGAATATCCGGTCCCGCACGTGACATGTGTAGCGTCCAGGTGTGTTGTGGAAACACCTCCACCGCCGGAATAGGTGTAATTCCGATGCCCGCAACCGTTGTGGGCAAATGGCGTGTGGCTTGGGGACGGCTGAGCGGATGGGAACTTACGAGGGCTTATAACAGCTACATTACCGTTTGAGCCATTGTTGGAACCTACTTGTCCGTGGCATAACATCACAACCTGTGATTTACATCTCTGGAACCAAGAATAATCAAGATCAAAAGATCAAAAGATCAAAACTAGAATTTGCTGGGAGTCACCACCCAACTTGTAACCAGCCAGCGTATGAATTCAACGTAGTCAATATAAGCAGGTGGGGTGCCCCTCACTGGTGATGTGCCTAATAGCTCGTGTTCGGGAAACTCAACCTATTGCTGTACACCTTCTGAGCCCACCTAGGCAGCTGCGTCATTTCCCTGCGTCATTTCTGGCCCCGCCTTGATTTAATACGAGCTGTCTTCTACACACTCTGAGACTTAAGACCAAGGCATCTCCTACTGTCCGATCCTTGAGTCCCTCTCTCGTATTGGGTTGAAAACAGCCCTACCAAGATGACAAGTGAGTCGGGACATCCTTCTGAGATAACCGGTGGCTGCCTGTGTGCAAGTATCCGGTACACTGTCCACTTCGATGGAGTACATAAGTGGCCGCCAAAGGTACTGCATCGTCCTGAAATCTGGGTCTTATCTGCTAACAGAAATTCTTTTCAAACAGTCGGCTTCCTGTCAATGCACAATGTGCCGCAAGTGGACTGCTAGTCTACTTCCTCAATTTCTTTCCCTCTCACCAGAGCAGATAAGTCCCGCAATCTCTGCGTCGCCGACTTACACAGAATACCGTTCGTCGGAGAAGTGCCTGAGGGGATTCTGCTCAAAGTGTGGGAGTTCGCTTTTGTGGAGGTCAGAGGAAAATCCGGAGATTGATTTGTTCCTAGGAACAATAGACGAAAAATGGCTGGTCGGCGAGAGAGTGGACAGTGGAAGCAGCACAAGCGATACTGTCGGGCCTACGAGAAAAGGCGGCGTTGGAAAGACGCTGGGTATCCCAATGAACGGGCATTATTATTATGAAAATGTGATTACCGGAGTGACTGATGGTCTTCATGGAGGGAAAAAGTACCTTACACACCCATCGCAAGGGGATGGTTTTGACTGATTCTGCTGACTTGGCTATGTGGAATGTTTGTGATAGATCACTGCAGTATACAGTAATGAGATCTTTCCAGCCTCTTTCCTAGCACCCTTGATCTGTCGTTGCACCGGACATGTTACAATCTATAGCAGGATCAAAATATTGGACGCAGCTCAGTTCCAAGACGCGTTCGCCATTGATCTTGGTGAGAAGTCCTTTTCTAAAGCGGAAATAAGCAGCAGTCGTTGTTTCCTCATAAGACTAGTGTGACTTGAACAGTCGGCACACAAGCAGAGCAACACTTACTAATGTTGGGCCTTGCTGAAAGATTCGAGTCCAGCGGACAGACACCAGGGGGAAAGAAGAGAAATATTTGCTACCTGGTGGACTGTTTCACTGTGCTTGGCACTACTGTTCATAGATCTGCTGCTGAGATATTATTTGTTGTTATGTTGCAAAGCGGAATTTGGTCTTTCGGATTAGTTAACACGGAATGTTTTGTAATCATCCCGTGCCACAAATCATGTAGATGTAATGTTTGGGTCTGGCGCTGATTTGGTACCAGGCTGGGTAAACTTTAAACCTTTAAGAAGGTTATCTTAATATGAAATGTAGTGCATTACTAATTATCTATCAACATCCCGAAGACTGTGGCGAGGAGCCTTGAGTGGATTCTAGGTTCGACCGCCCACCCTTTAAGCAGTTGTATATAAACTGCTCACTTGGAAGTAATATTATACGATTGTTGGGCTAAAGAGTGATAATACTTTTTCTGGCTTCCAGACGCTATCTACCACATCAACTACACTATGGCTCAGAAGACGGTCTTCATCACAGGTTGCAGCGAAGGCGGAATAGGCGATGCTCTAGCTAAAACCTTCCACAAAAAGGGCATGCGAGTTTTTGCGAGTGCTCGCAATCTCGCTAAAGTCCAACATCTCAAGGACATCGGGCTTGACATCATACAATTAGACGTTGCCGATGAAGAGTCCATCAGGCAAGCGGTGGAGGCTGTCAAGACGGCAACTGGTGGAACTTTGGATTTCCTGGTTAATAACTCGGGTTTAGGTAAGTGTCAAGATCTCGAGCATTCAATTATTTTACTTGTGTCAAAGCTGACTATTTGACAGGATACAGTATTCCCCTGTTGGACTCGGATGTGTCTGTAGCGAAGAAGATGTTTGATGTGAATGTCTTCGGTGTCGTTACGGTAACTCAAGCATTTGCACCTCTTCTTATTGCATCAAAAGGGACAATTATTAACATCGGGTCCGTGCTTGGCAAAATGCCACTCCCATGGCAAGGATACTACAATGCAAGTAAAGCCGCGGTTGCTCTCATCACCGACCAGATGCGCATTGAGCTCTCCCCTTGGGGAGTTAGAGCCATCCTCGTCAATACCGGTGCAATTAGGACGAAGTTTTTGGATAACCTTCCAAATACCCCAGTCCTACCCGAGGGTTCCCTGTACTATCCTGCTAAGGACGTGATTGAGCCGCAATTGGCCGGAGTCGAGCTGGAGAAACAAGCTATGGATGTCAATTCCTATGCTGAGGCCGTTGTCAACAAGGTAACAAGGTCTAGCCCTAAAAAGCATCTCTGGATTGGAGGAGGAGCTCTTCTGACCTGGTTGGCATCTACTTTCGGTTGGTCAACCATTTGGGTAAGATCATCCCTTATCCTCAAGCAAAGGTGCTACTTTGTTGACTTGACGCAGGACTTGTTACTACCTCCGGTCCTTAATATGCCAACTATAACGAACAAGATCCGCACCGCAGAAAAGTAGGAACAGGATCGCCGAAAGGGGAACAATATGAACTAACCACCCCATGTATGCTTACTTGTCGCGAAAGCAGCGGGTCTCGTCTTTCTTTTTTTTTAGTTTATTTTTTACAAAGTCTACTTAATATTTGGTTGCGCGCAATACAGGGGCCATATTCTTCGCTGTGCCTGTAGCCCTACACCTTAAAAAGATTGTAATAACCCTAAACGACCTTGAAATCACCCCTAATACACATAATCATCATGTTCCTCATCCACACTACTAAACATAAACTTAGATCACCAGAGGAGACAAACCCACAGCCAGAATATTAGTAGAAGACCTGAACCCAGGCTGAGGTATTCTTGATCCATGCGGAACGGTGGGGTCTGGGCGTTGGCCCGATGCTATCATGGTTTCGATAAGATGATTATTGATCATCCCGCATTTTCTCCACCACTCTTCGAGGGTGCGGTCCTCCTTTCCCGTCGCCACTAGTAACCCAATCTGGCTAGTATACTGAAGTCGGTTTTCTCTTACCCCGTCGGCCTCTTGTCCATCCGGTGTTGGAATGAAGATAACCTTGCCCCATGAGCAATATAACCGTCATACTTAGATGTTGGTGTGCTGTATACAAATTCACTTAATTCGAAGAATTTACCATTCAGGATAACTTGTCATCTCCCCTAATACTCTCTCATCTTTACGAAGCCTAATCCATTCTTATCCACGCACCATCGTTCATCTATACTTCTCCAATAACGATGAAAGCGATAGTCACAAACCGGTCTCTGCCTAAGCGGCTACTCAGCTTTGGTCTTGGTAGACCACTTGGGGAGGGCGCACATGT